ATAAGACCTCTATAGTGGTTTTGATTCAGGTGATATTGAACAAGATATATCTCATTCTAACAGTTATAGTGTTGTATTAAGTGATTTATTGTGGAAGTTTACTTGGTATAAGTAAACAATCGCCATGAAATTAATAGTATCAATTGGAATGAAATGTGTACAATGTGTTTGGCTCTAGTATCATTAAGCCATAAAATACTGCTATAGTATTTTAATTGTATGTTCAGTTCTATGGTTCCCTTAGTGTAGAGTTTAGTGAGGTTTAGGCTTGTTGCAACACCATGATCACTCCTAAACACATGTGATCGTAACTCAAATAAATATAGTTGATCTGGCTATATTTATCCCATATATGATTACATAATTGTCCAGGTTTAACCACAATATTCAACATCTAAATACTTGTGTTTTGTTCTTCTTGTGATACTGTTTCTAGTATGTATGTAGTGTTAGTATACTTCTTATAAAATACATAGACTTTACAAGTATACTTTTAATTCAAAGTGCTTCGGCCCCTTAGTGTTTATAGTTGTATATCATGTAAGGTTTGATATACTTAGTTCACTATAAACAATGCTATGATACCAATTTGTAACACCCCCAAACCGGAACGGCGGAAATGTTCGGGGGTAAAGTACGTCATCTACAATATCACAACAATTGTATAATAGGAATCAAAGCTAACACAACCACTACATTGATAAGGTAAAGTATTTACATATGTTCAATACATAGTTTATATGACATCAAAATGTATAACAAAAGTATAAAAGACGTGACTCTAGAAACCTCCATCTTCTCAAAAACTTTCAAGTATACCTGTCTTATTGGTGTCATGAGAATACAAGTGATTTTGAAAGTTTATCAACATTTAAGTTGGCGAGTTCATAAGTATGTTTTAGTGCTAGAAAACTTATCTTTGTACTTCGAAAATACTAGTGTGTTTCTCAAGAAAATCCAATATTTTCTATAGTGAATGTAATGTAGTCTTATATGTTCCTTGTAAATGTATATTGTACTAGAGTATTCAGTATTAGAACACAATGTATTGTATCTATGTTTGTATGAAAACCCTTGTATGTATACATGTATACAACCAGTTGTAGTGAAAGTAGTATACTATAATAGCATTTTTATGAAAACCTTGGTATGAAAGTATGGTATTCACCAATTGTGGTGTAAGGTAGTGTACCATAATAACGACTAGATGAAAACATGGTATGTATGCCTGGATACTACCAGCTTTAATGTAAGTGATGTACTGTAGTTTTATTAATTAAAATAAAACCATTGAAGTAGTGTTAATCCCGTAAACATACGTGTTAGTTATATTGTTATAAGTTTCATATAACCTTGCTTGATATGACCTAGTGACCTCTACGACGTTCTTCAGGCGTCTGAAAGTAATGACATTTGTCACCCAGGCATGCCACCCTAACTGTAGCTACCAGTTCAGGTGTAAGATTGTCATTCCCGTATAGATCTATACAAACATCTCATGCTCTCCATCCAGGAGACTCTGGTTAAACTGTAGAGTATTTGGTTCCGTACCCCAAGGGATACTAGTGAAGTAGCGCCTCACAACCCTGTATTAACTAGTTTACGTTTAGTGCTGTAGTGTTCTCTTGTACTAGAAATTATATGCATTTCCTTGTATTAATGTACATTGTAGTGTAAAATAATTATATTTAAATAACTATTTTAGTAGCATATACTTGTATCATTTTATTAGAGTAGTGTTTCTCAAACTATACTGATTATAGTTAGATGTATATTCTCGTTTTGTGTATTGAATTTTGTAAAAGTAATGTAGTGTTCCCAAACCATATCAGTTATAATTCAAATTTATGTATGTACTCTACTGAAAACTTTGAAATTTTGGCTATATGTTGAAAACTACCCTTATTCTCTACATGTTACAAAAGGGTAAAAAATATCAAAATATTTTTATAAAATGTAGTGATTGCTCGGTTTGTATAAATTGTGAAAGTTTTAAATCGTTTGTCTAAAAACACAAAAGTCATTGTGTTTTAATTTTATTCCCCCCTTAAAAAACATTAGAAACAGTGAAAGGTAGGGTTATGAACTCACCTCAAATGTGCATTAACTTGAAATAGCGAGTTGTAGTAACGATCCCCTAGTCTAGCGTACGCACGAATAACGTTATCCTAAAAATAATTGTATTCGACGTCGTATTTAAATTAATGATAAATTTAGTTAAATAATGTGTTAAATAATTAATTAAGTAAATAATACTTATAAAAACTAATTGGAATAATTGGAAAAGTTAACTGGTGTTTTCAGTGGGAAAAATGAGTTTTCGGTGGAGCTGGGGGTGATTTCGGTGTGATGATAGTAGTGGTGTGTGTTCTTGGTTTTCTTGGTGGATAACTTGAAGATATGAAGAGCTTATTAATGTTCTTGGGAAAAATATGAAGGTTTGACGAGAGACTCCTTGGATGAATTTTGAGAGCAAAAAGGGTGTGTGTTCGGTGGAAAATGTAAGAAATGAACTGTAATATATATATATATATATATATATATATATATATATATATATATATATATATATATATATATATATATATATGGAGTGTGTTCGGCCTTAACGGTCCTCAATTGAGGTCTTTTCGGTCTTGTAAGACCGAATTCCTTCATGAAATCGGTCTTAAAGTCAACAAAATAGAGGGTGTTTGGTTTCTAGTCAATGGCAAAATGGAATTTGGTCATGCCTTCTATCATTTAGGGTATTCGGTTTTGGTTTTACTCCTTAAAGGGAATTCAGTTTTTGGTGTTTCGAGTTTGATTCCATTAACCGAATTATATATATATATATATATATATATATATATATATATATATATATATATATATATATATATATATATATATATATATATATATATATATATATATATATATCATGATTTGATTTATTAGTGAACCTTTTATATGTTTCCAAAGGCATGGTTTTTCCATAATTTACACCATGTGTTTGGTTCTAGAGTGAATGACTTCAACCCTTATTTAACTAGTGTAGGCTTTGATTTGAACTTTGGGTGAATTTCATTGTCTTTTATTGACTCGACAGAATGGGTTGTTACAACTATAATATTATACACAATCAAAACTCACACCTAATCTTATAAATAGATAAATACTCACTTTCAAAATATTCGGATTCGAAAATCCCAAGGGAACCAATGTAGAAAAGTCCATACTTTTCCAAAAAATTGTTTTAGGAAGTAAGAAATCGAATAGATAATGCAATGTATGAAACTATCCTAACCTATATGAGTCTCAAGGGTCTAATATCAAAATGATAAATGGCGGTGAGCACGTTAGGGTACTCCCATTAAGTTGCTAGAAAGAGTAGTACTCCAATCTGTATAACCTCTAAGAAAGGGATACAACCAGTTTCAATATGCGAGTAAGTGGAATTGCCACCATCTATTTGGGAACTATATAGCCATTATCCTAGCCTCAGACAGGGTATAACAAGTCCATGTGTGCATGTTAGGATTATCTAGAAATCTATTCACAAACACTCAACACACAATGGATCTAGGACATGAACACATAAGTGTCCCATACTAGAATATGTTCATAAATAGGATGCTAAAATACTTTCAGTATGGATTTTAGCTTTTGCTATCAAATCAGTTTTAGAAACTTTTTTCATGAATTGAAACAAGTATGTGTACATATAAGCAAATAACAATCAAGTATATGTTATATCATTTTTCAAAGCATAAGATACACATTCTATATTCTCGTTAACATAAAATGGGGATTAAACGAGAAGTCATACCTATAATACAATATATATATATATATATATATATATATATATATATATATATATATATATATATATATATATATATATATATATGTGTGTGTGTGAGAACTTCTCGATAAAACCATGTTATCAAAATCATGTCCTTAGCTCCAAACAGGATGTCCTTGAATGATGAATAAAATAATTTATTAAGGAAAACACAATTTGCACACGTTGAAGACAGTCAATATGAATACACGTATTGTATTGCACATAACGAAAACCATTAGTGAAAATAGTCATATAATAGGGACAGGCATTCAAAGGTAAAAGTACTCACCTTGGATTCGAGGTACTAGAGATACTCATTTCCACCAAAAAAAACATTCTTCAATCGCATTCTATAAGATATAGATTAAATTACTAAAAACACTAAACTATGCCTACGATCATCATAAGTCATTTTGAATGTTTTAATCTATTAATTATATATACACTACTACAAAAAAGAGCATTACCGACGGCCAAAACCGTTGGTAATCCGTCGCTAAAGCTCTTTACCGACGGAATTGTAACACACTAAAATCCGTCGCTATATTCTTGTAGCTAATTATTTGTAACGGATTTTCGACGGCTCTGGCTAATTTTTAGTGACAGATTTTTCCGTCAGAAATAGTAACGGATCACCAACAGAATATATTTGCAACGGATTACCGACGGAATTTGATTGCAACGGATTACCGACGGAAAAATTTACTAACGGATTACTAACAGAATTTGAAATAACTTACTAACGGATTACCGACAGAATTTAGAATAACTTACTAACAGATTACTGACGGAATCCCGAAATGACTACAAATTTTTTGTAACAGATTAGCGATGGATTTTGGCAATATAAAAAAATTTACAAATTAATGAAGAAACTAAAAACTAAAAATAATGACATATTGAGCACAAATTTTTTAAACATACATTAAATCTATATTTTAAAACAGCCAAATATAAAAGTAAATCCACACATTTCAATCATTTGACATACATTAAATCTATAACTCCATATTGTCAAATACCAAAAATTTCAATCTATATTGTCAAATATTATCAACAACCAATAGAGAATTCTTTTTCGTGGATTCCACACATATCATTGAGAGTTGTAAGCTAGAGAGATGTTTATATATTGTCAAATACCATAAATGCCCTCAAATATTACCTTTTATCTTCCGGTGAATTGCTTCAAAAGATCATTCATTTTTCCAAGAAGACGGCTTTCCATGTCCTGTCGTAACTTCACCTCATTATCAAATTTGGCTTCTATTTCCTCCCGTTTCTTCACTTCTTGTTCCAACATGCTCTCTAATTCATTTATCTAAAATATGGTCCGCCAAACATATAATTAATATAAAATAGAGAAGGAAATAGCAACATACTTTACTATTTTTATCATAACATTGACACATACCTTCTTTTGATGATCATGGGATGATGAGCCACACTCGTAAGGTGTCCCCGACACGACGTTGCCCGGATCTGATGATCCTACCCCGCAAAGTCGCCCCTTCTTTCTCCCGCCAACACAATGTTCCCATATTTCAACATCACCCAACGGATGTTGACTAGGGTCGGGGCCATATTTCTCACACATTGCCTTCTCATATTTGTCCTACAATTTACCAAAACATAAAATTGTTACTACTCTAAACATTTGAAAAATAATCAAATACATCAAATCTTAAATCTAAAAAGGATAAGGATAACTTACAAATACAGTCCAAGACTTCTCATTAACCCAATGTTCAGGTTGGCTCCCAATCAACTCCCCCGATGCCAACTTCACCTTTGCACTCTTTTCAAGGTGAGTCTGCTTGAAAACGTCTCCCCACAAAGGGTCTTTCCCCTTTGCTTTCTTCTACAAAAAAAAATACTTGTAATTTATGCTAAACTAAAAACAAATTACTGAATTTATAAACAAGATTCATTTACCATCTTCTTGCGGTGTTGTTCTGTTGTAATCGATCCACCCGTATGTACCGAGATGGAACCATTAACACTACTGCTACGATTTCTCTTTCCACTGTTGGATATATGTCTCCAAGTATCAGTGTCCCATATCTATGTAGTAATAAATACAAGTTATTTTATGATAAAATAGAAAGCCATTATTATTATAAGAAATTTATTGTATTATATCACTTTACCGTGCATAAAGCCTGCCATACGTCAGATGTGATCCAAGTAGGCGGAAAATCACGCATCACTGAGAAGTCATAAGTCTCCCCTGCTGGGAAGACATGACCAACATTTTTGGCTGCAAATGCAGATGCCTTTCTAGCACCATTAATAATGTCTCTATATCGACGGTTCAAGACGTTTTTGAAGCCTTCGAAGATTTTATCCTCTTCCGACTCAGGCCACTGATAAATCCCCTGTAACAAGTAAAATGTAAAGTTAAATAAGCATACCTAAAACAAAGTTAAATTATAAAGTATTATTAATACATTACCCGAAAAGCATTAAACATATTCTTTCGAACATCCAACGGGACCTTTTTCCATGTAGGCCAAGCATCATCCATAAACTCTTTCATTATACTTGCAATCTGACGATGCACAAATTCTTCATGAAACCTATAATATCAAATTAACCAAATTAGTATGTTTGTAACATCAATAATCAACATAAATTTCAATAAGAAAAAACATACCCTCGCCCGAGTCGTGTGATCCATATCCTCTCAGAAGGATGAGCCGGAGGCGAACGTAGGATATTGGACCCACGCCTAACAATATCCCCCGCGCTTTCCCCATCAGACGCAAAGTCCTCCTGGTCAAAGATGGTATCCGGTCCATGTGGGTCATGAAATGTGCCACTGCTAGCAGAGCTCATCTGTGATCCTTTACCATCTCTCATGCTTCCTCTATTACTACCATCTCTCATGCATCCTCTCTCACCACCATCTCTCATGCTTCCTCTATTACTACCATCTCTCATGCATCCTCTGTCACCACCATCTCTCATGCTTCCTCTGTTACTGCCATCTCTCATGCCTCCTCTATCACCACCATCTCTCATGCTTCCTCTGTTACTACCATCTCTCATGCCTCCTCTGTCACCACCATCTCTCATGCCTCCTCTATCACCACCATCTCTCATGCCTCTCATGCCTCCTACATCATTACTACCTCCCGTGCCTCCTCTATCTCCATTGTAACTAATAGCTTTTTTTCCACCTTTATTAATACCCCCTCCACGACCGTCTCCCAAACCTTTCGGAGGAGGATATGTACGACCGTCTTCAAAACTTCTCATATTATGTACCCTGTGTTTACAAGAAAAAGAAAGGTTAGCTAAATATATTAAAGTCGATATCAATAATTTAAAGTGAGCATACCCTATAATATATCACAAATAACTTAAAGTGGATATCAAGAAAAAGAAAGGTTCATCCTGAATCAAAAGAGTGATCAGATAAATCAAATTCATCTTCATCATCGTCTGTATCTTCAAACTCTTGAAATTCTTCCTCCTCTCGAGTCTTTTCTTCATTTCTCTCGGTACCAGACTCTTGAAATTCTCCATCTGTGACTAGGTTCATGCGATCATTATTAATTACTTCATTTGTATACTCGAACCGTTCATCAATCTGAAAGAATTGATCAACTTCCATGTTTTCATCGTTCACGACTTCAGATAAATATTCAGCAACTTCATATATCCCTCGTGATTTTGTCTTGATAACAGCCCACCAATCTTTTGTATCCCTTTTCATAGCGGGATATGGTGTATAATACACTTGTTCCACTTGTGATGCTAATACAAAAGGGTCATAAATTTGAAGTCGGGACTTCGGTTTAACATCAACTAACTTATTTTTGTTAACTTTTACACCATGGACATTATCAAACCATGTACATTTGAATAGTACAACACGCCCGCCACCAAGATATTCAACCTCTAGTACCTCGTCCAATATGCCATAGTAGTCAGTCTCTTCGTCATTAGAATTCGTCCCTCTCACGCATACTCCACAATTATCCGTTATACGTCCATCACCATGCCTCTGCATGTGGAACTTATAACCGTTTACAAAGTATCCTTTGTGAGATTTAACACGTTGTGATGGTCTTCTTGCTATGAATTTCAAATGGTTAGTACTTTCATCTGACTCCTTTACCTACATTAAACAACACACATTTTATTATGTTGGCTAATGATGAATTAATAGTTATCACTACAACTTAGCCAGTTTAACTTACGTGTTTTTGGAACCAATCGGCAAAGTATCGATCTCTAAGACTTTGAAGAGACTCATTCGGCTCATTTGGATATTCTTCTCGCACTGATTCATCGAACATGTAGACGTAAGGGTGAACTTCTATGCAGTTTAATAGAATATATGTGTGAGCCTTGTGAAGTTCTTGGTCATCCATGAATCTTCGTGTTCCACCCTTTGCAAATAATCTTCGTGAAGGAAAGACAAACACACTCAACCGAGAGTCTGTACTCGAAAAGCTAGGATAATCAGGTGCGAAATTCCTCGGCTCACGATTATGACGTGTCTCAATCATAGAGTCAAAGTATAAAGAACAATATCCAGCAAGTTCATTCACTAGATACGACTCTACAATTGAACCCTCAACCCTCGCTTTGTTTCTAATTGTTCTTTTTATCAATCCGAGCTTCCTATATTTTGGAATAACTGAGAATGTGTTATGGATGAATACATAACACTTTAAAAAAAACATTAGATGTGTAAAACATACAAAAAATGTAATTACCTCTCATAGATATACATCCATCTGTATTGCACCGGACCACCTATAATAGCTTCATGAGCTAAATGTATGACAAGGTGTTCCATACAATCAAAGAAACTCGGAGGGAATATTTTCTCCAACTTGCAGACAGTTTGAACAATGGTGTCCTTCATCTTATGTAAGTCATCTAGATGTATCGTTTTCGAACATAATACCCGAAAGAACATGCACAACTCTGTTATCACGTCATATACCTCATTTGGAACAAAGCCTCTTATAGCAAGTGGAAGCAACCGCTGCATAAACACATGACAATCATGGCTTTTAAAAGCATAGAAACTATCATCTTTCGTATTTACACAGTTCCCTATGTTGGATGCATATCCATCTGGAAATTTAAGTTTTTTCAACCATTCACAAACTTTGTGTACTTCATTGACGCCCTCTTTTCTTTTCAGAGTGTAAACTCCATCTTATTTATAGAGTTTCCCATTTCTGGGGATGGGGTTTAATAAAGGTCGATCACATATTAGCTCAATGTCTTTCCTCGCATTCATATTGTCTTTGGACTTAGGGGTACCCATGCATGTGTGAAACATATTTTCTAAAAAGTTCTTCTCAATATGCATCACATCAAAGTTATGTCGAATTAACAACTTATGCCAATAAGGCAACTCCCAAAAAATGCTTCTCTTTACCCAATTATGTGTAACCCCGAAACCATTCAGCTTTTGATTATCTGAATGATATGGTCTACCTTTGTAAACGGTGGGAAGAAGATGAACTTGCTGCCAAATTTGATCTCCAGATGGCTCCGGAATAGGTTTTAGAAGCAACTCTTTTTGGTTTTTCCGAAAGTTAATCTCATCTTTCCGAAACCTATGTCCTTTGGGCAAATGTTTTCTATGACAGTCAAACCAACATGGTTTCTGTCCAAATTTAAGTTGGAATGATCCCGCTTGATCTCCACAATATGGGCAAGCTAACTTACCATGTGTACTCCATCCTGATAACATTCCATATGCAGGGAAGTCGCTAATTGTCCATAGCAGGATGACCCTCATTCGAAAATTGTTCCTTCGATAGGCATCATAAGTTTCAATGCCATGATCGAACAACAGTTTTAGTTCCTCTATTAAAGGTTGTAGAAAAACATCCAAATTTTGCCCAGGATTCTTTGGACCAGGAATGAGCAAAGAAATTTTTATGTATTCGTCTTTCAAAGCCAACCAAGGAGGTAGATTGTAGATTGTAATAAACACTGGCCAGCACGAATATGAGGTTGAGCTTGAATTATTTGGAGTGAACCCGTCTGTACACAACCCAATACGAACATTACGTGTCTCTTGTGCAAAATCAGGAAATGTTGTATCAACATGCTTCCAAGCCTCCCCGTCACTAGGATGTATCATCTTTCCCGGTTCTGTTTGATGATCTGAATGCCATGTCATATGTTTGGCTGTCTTCGTTGAATAGAACAATCTTTGAAGTCGTGGTCCAATTGGCATGTAGGTCAATACCAAATTAGGTACCTTGCACATACTATTCGTGTATCTGTTTGCATTACATACTCGGCAATGATCCAAATGAGAATGTTCTTTATAGAATAACATGCAATGATTTATGCATGCATGAATCTTTTCTTTTGGCAACTCTAATAACTTCAACATTTTCTTAGTCTCGTAGAAGTTTTTAGGTAGCTTCTCACCATCGGGTAGCATTTCTTTGATCATCGGAAGCAGTTTATTATATGTCGAGTTGGAGACATTGCATTCTGATTTCCAGTGCAACAACCTGGTGGTTGCTGACAATTTAGAATAAGTTTTACATCCATTCCACAAAGGCTCATTAGCATCTTCTATCATGTCATAGAATGCCTTGGCGGTGGGATTTGGGTCTTGTGGAATATGATAATGGTGCATGCTTTCATTAACCATTTGCTCATATTCGTTGTATTCATCAGGATCGAAAGGCTCGTAATCCATGGGGCTTGAACATTGACCCACGTCTTGAGAAGGTGCAGGATTTGAGCATTGACCCACACGTTGAGAAGGTGTAGGATTTGAGCATTGACCCACATGTTGAGATGATATGTCATATGATTCACCATGTGCATACCATACATAATAATTGGGCATGAATCCATTGCAAAATATATCATACTCAACCAACTCTCTTGTTTTGTAGCATTTGTTCTTGCATTTGAAACACGGACATCTAATTTGAAGAACCTCCTTCCCGTCTATAATTTTTCTTTGAATATTATTTGCATTCGCAAATGCAAAATCCAAGAATAAATTGAGATGGAAGTCAAATTCCGGATGAAGATAACCCTTTTTGGTGGCTCTCATTGCGTACATCCATTCTCTGTTCGACGACATAGCAACCTACTTTCATGTATTATTAAGAAATAGAATGGAGGGATTAAAGAAAGGACTTGAAAATAGGAAAAAGGATTTTGGTTGTCACTGTGATGGCATCCAACTTTTGTTTAGAAATTACAACATCATACTTTGAAATCCTACAAGTTATAGTTATGATTGGATGGATATTTTAGAATATAACAAAAACACTTACCTGCTAAGATGTGATTATTATATTTGCACCAGCTTCAAGATAATAGAAAACACTTGTTTCAAACTGCATATCATGAGAACTACAAGTCACAACAATTTTATATAACGGGTCAGGCATACAAGCAAGAAAAACTTTAAAATTACATACCAATGCCAGGTAAGAGGAAAAAAAATTAACAGTTGTTAATCAATTAAGATCATAATATAGCAAGTTCATAATATAGCAATGTCAGGTGTATATATATATATATATATATATATATATATATATATATATATATATATATATATTTGAAGTTGATCGAAATCAGCTATAAACTATTGGTCTTTTGCAGGGGTAATACAGTCTTTTATCAAGGCAATAAACAGGGGACAAGATGATGAAGTGTACAGGGGACAGATTTAGTGAATCACAGGAAGGGGAAAAGTTGGGAAAACAACTTTATAGAAGACTACACAGTGGGCAGAGAAATACAGAGAACAGGGAAGAGTACAAAGGATAACATCAACGTACAATTGCCTATGTATTATTTCTAAAAACTAGGAAACAAATTTTGACTAGTTGATGTAGACCAGGGACCACTTTCTGGCTGCTTTGATTTATTCTAAAGCAAAAACGTGCATGGAATAAAACCAATTTTGAATTAGTCTTAACAAAAACCACATATGTTACATAACACAAAGTATGCAGTTTTGTATAGCATTTGTGCAGGGAACTACAAAAAAGTTCTTGGTCATACTCAATTAAGTTCTTAACAGCTATAAACCCTCTAGAACTATAACTAACAATGATTGAAAAAAAAATTTGGTTGATTTTTTTACCGCTTTTGTGACGACTTGTTCTTGGAAGCTTTTATTTTCTCTACTGCCTATTATCAAAATACATGATTAGTTATATATTTACATATACAAATATTTTTAAAAATAAATAAATCATTTGATTTCCTTGCCTTTGTTACCCTGTCACCGTTGAACCCATTTTCAGTCGCCAAGAAGTTTAACAATCCCTGGAAAATGATATTATCATGCCTTTGTTACTTATCTCTTTTTATTAAAGTATTTTCAAATTTACCTTTTATAACCCTATTAATTCTGCACAAATAAGGGATACCCAAAGATCTGAAAAGGGATCCAAAGAAAGCGTCTTAATTTGATAAGTCAACATTAAAACTGAAAGAAATAGCAAAAGATAAAGCCATAGAACCTGAAAAAGAGGGAGTTCAGATCTAATTGATTCTGCACTAGATATAGAAAATAACAATGTGGTTGAGACACGTGGCGAAGGCAATAACTCTGTAGAAAAGAAAACCAGTAGTGAAAAAAGAAAATCATTAGAAAAGTTATAAAAAATCCAAAGCAGGAGACAAAGCCATACAAACTGATACATTAGATTCCAAGAAATTGGATGCTGAAACCACGTCATGCTTCTTGCAGTTAAACAATACAAACTCTAAGTTCTGAAGGAAGGGAAGAATCCACCAAGATCAAGATCTCTAAAGGAAGATGAAGATTTCCAGAAAATAAGGTTTTTTCTACTATTAATTTTCATATATCTTTGGCACACTGACTATTACAAACCATTAGCCTCTATTCATAGAGAAGTTTAGTAGACAAGGAATTGACACATGCAATGAGATGAAAACTGGTACAAAAAGGTACTGTGGGAAGCATTTCCTGCTACTTTTGTTGAAAATGTGATTCGTCTCACTTATGTATCTTTGTGGTGATAAATGAGCTGAGAATGGAGACAAATCATGGCTTGCATGGGTGATCTATTTGCACCAAAAGTGTTGGGCACACACATATGTTGATTGTTGATTGAATGTGCATGTAATAAGTAATAACATTTTGCAATTGTAATTTACAGGTAATCTGTGCATTTGGAAGAATTGGAACTATGTTTGGATGTGATAAGTACAAGATTAAACCTGATCTTCTCTCAATAGCAAAGGTATAATCATAATCACTAAACATTATATAAATAAAAACAATTAAAATTAGATACAAAGGCATTGACCTTCACCTATGGAAGACCAACGTTGACCTTTTGCATGGTAAACATGGACTAGGTGGACAACATTCAAGTCATGATAGTGTTTTGGGCTCTTTATTGGCCAAGGGTAGTTGCATCAGTTATTCCATCTGGCTAATCATTCAGGTCTGTTTATATTAATGAAGAGATTATCATAAAAATAATGACTAAAATAAGGAAATTTACTATTGTAAAATTGATAGATCGTCATTTGGTAGAAGAATAATAAAAAGTTATCACTTCATTAAATGGACCTTATATATTAATACCCCTGATTTTATGTTAATATCCCTGCAATGACAAAAAAAAAATACCCCTGCAATGATTATTTTATTGGTGGTTGATTTTTAAATCATTAATTTAGTTGCAGGTTTTTAAAAATTCTAGACTTATTAACCAATGAGTATTTTTGTAATTTAATCAAGTAAATAACGGAAAGAGGCCCAATGTCATTCATTCATGGTGAAGGAAGTATGTGAAGAGACTGTCTCAGAGAAGGTTGAATCTGAAGAAGGGTTAAAACTTTCTAATAGTGTTAATATCGATCTGAATGAGAACGAAATAGCAAGAAAGTTGAAGATGAAGAAAAGGAACAAGAGGTTTATGTGTCAGGAAAAGGTTTAGGGGATGATATTACAAGTTCACAAGATGCAACATTTGAGGATATAAAAGAAACAACTGGTGAGCATGTTACTACAGTGGCCTATATAGAGGAGGAACAGGCTCTAAACTCAACGCCTAAGGAGATCCTTAAGGAAGAAGCAGAGGACCAATCAAGTGATGCTCAAGAGGTAATTCATGTTCATTCTAAGTAAACCCTAACTATTCCTAAAAGGTTTTACAGTTTTAATTGTAGATCAATCTAACTAGAACTTGAAATGTATTGTTAAATGTACTCAAAATACTTGTGTTCATATAGGTAAGTGAGCAGGATGAAAGTGGAGCAAACAAAAAAATAGAACACGAATTAAATTACAGTCAATGAAGATGTGATTGAAGTATGTGAAGAAACTCACTTAAAGAAGGGTAAATTTGAAGGGGTAGAACCTTCTGACAAAGATGCCGGTTGTTGTTCACAGAGGTGAGTTGCAGGTTGGACCAGCAGTGAGAGGGAGAATGTAATGCGTCGACGACTTTGGAGTAGCTGGAGGGCTTTGCTGCCGGGGGTGACGGCGGAGTTGATGTCGGAGGTGACGTCGTTGGCGGAGGCAGTGGCCGGCTTGCAGATCGGAGATGCGGTGAGAGGAGCAAGAGTCTCGTGTGAACGAGAAAGCGAAATCGAAAGCGAAAGTGAGGGTAGGGCAAAATCTAAGCGTGCTTTCTCTCAGTAACATTACGTGTATTTACCAAATTGCCCCATCTATTTAAAAAAGTAAAAAAGAAATTGGAATTTCACTAACGGATTTCCGACGGAAGTTCAAATTTGGTGAATTCCGTTGGTAAACCGTCGGAAAGTTGTAACGAGTTACTGACCAATTTTATTCTGTTGCGAAACCATCGCAAAAACGTTGCTAATATCACAGTAAGTTGTCTGTTGGAAATCTGTCGGAAATCTGTTGCTTTTTTCCGACGGAATTTTCCGTCGCTAAAATTCTGTCGCTGTTGCTCTATTTTCTAGTAGTGATATATATATATATATATATATATATATATATATATATATATATATATATATATATATATATATATATATATATATATATATATATATATATATATATATATATATATAAAAGTGTTAGAAGAAACAAAACACAAGATGGATAAGCAAAACTCAAGATAGCCTTTTTTTCTTTCTCAATACAAAACATGGTTCTGTAATATTTTCCATAAAATTACATGGTCGTGTAATGCCTTGTAAACCTCATTAAACGATCGTGTTTTGCCATGGAAAAACATTCTGTGACTACGTAATTCTATCGCATACATATGTTTCCCTCTTTCGACATCCTAATTTTCTTGTAATTTCAAGAACCCATCCAATTACTCAAATGATTTCCAAAAGCTGTTAAAACAACTCAAAAAAGGAACATTGGCAATCTTCAAAGTTTATATCCCTGAAAATACACAAATTTGCTAAGATCATTTCATAAATCAAATTGGAAGACAAAGGGATAAATAAGCACTTAAGTTGTACCAATTCATTGTGTGTGAAAGGCAAATGAACCAATAAGACCAAACATGATTCCTACAACTTAACGCATATGAAATTAATAGGTCATGAATATTATCCATTCATTAATTGGGTTCAAATTTTCATATTTACTTCAATGAAGCGCAACATCTCATAAAAGCTCCATAATTTGATTTTAGAATAGGAATCATCATATATGTTTGAAAACAAATTTGTAACACCATTAGATTCACAAAATTGGATCTATGATTCTTAAAAATTGAAATCACCCAAATCATCCCCATGACTGATAGTGGACTTGCTAACTCCTTAAGATTTGTCGTATGTTGGATTTGGACCAAATTTCAAATAAATCTCAGCATTAGTCACAATTAATAAATATATCATGGATTTGTAGTTACGTACATTCATTAATCATAAAATCAAGATCAATTCTAGATGATAGTCACTAAATTTAAATTTCACTTTCTGTGCTTGGGAAAACCCATCAAAATAAACAAAATCATCTCAATGTCACTTCTGTTAGCTTGTTGGAGATTAAGGATGGATCATGGAGTGAAATTACAACATAGTTTCAATTGAACCCAATGGGTTTAGAGCGAAACAAAACTTAGAGATCCTAATCGCCAATAAAATGAAATTTAAGAGAAAATAAATGAGAAAACTACTTATAGTTGCTAATTTTAGAATTAATTTGACAAGTCTTCAAATGGAATCTCTAAGAATCAAAGCATCATACATTTAATTAGGAAAGTCAATTTGAAAGGAAAAGGGAGATTGATTTCACATAAAGGTGGACTGAGAGAAGAAGATAAATAAAACGAAACCATCTTTGGTTACTTAGGCAAGTATGGCCCTTCCTAGAAAATGTATTTTCATAATTACTCTAAACTAAAGTATTTTCATAATTACTCCAAACTCAACTAAAGCCATCCTTGGTTACTTAGGGGACCGATATCCCATAACACCACCACCATAGCCCTTTCATGACCTTTTTTTTCTTCGTATATACATCATGTCACCCTTAATTGTAAGCCTTTTTTCGACAAGTGAAAACCACATTACTTGTTCTATTAGCAACACTGGCACCTTGAACCGAAACTTGACCCCCGTAGACCATTCATCATTGGAAACATATCAATTGCCACCGAAAGATACACCCATTACACTGTCAAACAAAAACAAAAACAAAACAAAACATTCCAATTTTTTGCACGAAATTTATTTAAACCTTTGAACACTCGATTGACCAACATACAATCGAATCTACTTCACTATTTGATAATAATAAAAAAAAAAACTATTTCTGAATAAACTAACTAGAGTAGCACTTCCTTGATTTAAAATCCCAAGTGGAAATTAAATGGATCACCACCCAATTGAAACTTCACACCCCTTATTCAATCCCTTTGAAATGGTAGTCAAACCCTTATTCTTAAATCCTAAGAGCACTAGTATACCTCTTTGAGAACTTTAATCGAACACTTTGTCAACTTACTTTGATATCCACCACCAACACAAAAATATTTATAGAGGGACCCTGAAAAGTGAATCAAAAAATCACACATTAGGTCATTCTAATAATCAAATATGAAATTAGACTTGCCTCTCATGACTTGGATTCCCAATATTTTCCATGAATCAGACCATTTGTTATAGATGATGTTTCTGTTTTCCTTTTGTGTTTACTGATGAAGAAACCTCGGTGAAGATTAAAATGAATCATCATACAGTGAATCTCCAAGTCTTTCAATTAATCCATTTATAAAACAAAAAATTAGACAATAACCTGAATCAATTGAAACCCATACTGAATCTAAAGAACTCCTCTCTAGCTTCAATACCACTTGTTTTGCATTTGTGAAAACATTAACCAAATAATTAGGAAGAAAATGTAGAAGAAATTAACAAAGAATGATCTAAAAAATAAAATATTCTTAAATGTGTATGTATGTGGTTAAATTTCAAGATAAAGAGAACAACAACAAAGAACTAAGACCATCTCTGACCCCATCTCCAATTGATATGCATTTATTCCGTTAATAATGGAGGACAAAATGTAGTAAATAATGTTTTATCTCCAACCATACTTTATTTTTTAGCCTATTTTTTATCCCAAAAAAATATTCCTAATGTATTCCGTTTTGCAACATACATAATTTCTCAAACACATTCATTCTACTAATTAGATTTTAACAAACATATAATTTATTTTTTTTCATTAGAATAATATTAAATAATTTATATTATATTTTATATCATATTTATAAGTAACTATTATAAATAAATTCGATACATGGAAAGTAAAGTTTATATTTATAAGTTTGTATTAAATATGTTATCGTTTTCTAAAATTTTGATATATATTTAAATTTTTATATAAATTCGATACATAGAAAATAAACTTTACATTTATGATTACTTAATATAATTAATTAATAAAGGTAAGCTAGAAATGTATAATTATATGAAAAGAATGACTAAAACCGAAAACTGAAACTTCATCCCTATTTATGAAAAATAGAATAGTGTTACTCTATATTTTGGATAATATTATTCATATTTCCATAAATGAAGGGAAAAATGAGATAGGGTTTGAGAATAATGAGAGAAACAATAGAATATGATTGATGAATAATAAGAAAAAAAATGGAGAAAAAATAGCTTTTTAAGATAGATTAGAGATGCTCTAAAATGGCAATTAAAAAACTCTCATGTACCATTTAACCTATTTACACTAACGCCGCCTACACTATAGTTATTGACACATTAACCCTAACTTAGTTCTAATGCCACATTCTACTACACCCTAAATGATTATGCTATGTTTTCTTATTGTTTCTTTACTTTAACAATCCTCATTCGGGACATTCTAAGTTCATTTAACGTTTTGGAGCATCACACCATCTTTTCTATATTTTTGACATCATTGTTTATGATCAATTTAATCATTTGAATTGTATACCTTATGAGAGCATCCCCATTATGTATACATGTTAATGATATTTTTTTTTAAAAAGAAATATCTTCCTACTTTTCCTTTCTATCTATATTTCTATTCATTTAAAATTATGACTTAATTTCTCATTTTTATTATGTTCATTTACGACATATCAGATAAGAAGCACTCTGTGTTGTGTTCCGGACAAAGCTTTCTGTAATAAGGTTATGAGTTGTTAAAACTTCATGTGGCAGTACAACTAGTGTAAGATATATGTAGTTACATTGATTTATTCTTTAAAAGAGACTTTAGTAAGAGATGAAGAACTCTAATAAATATAAAAATATATATGACACTGTTGCACCATCGATACACATACACTAACATTTTCCACAACAATGGCTATCAAATGAGCATATATGGATGTGTTAAGTAAATGAAGTGTGAGACGTCCGCTTTAATGCCATGTAAGATATATGTTTGAGGTTGTTGATTTACTATTCAAAAGAGTCTTTATAGAGATAAGATATCTTTAACATTTCAACATGCTAAATTATATTTTTTCTGTGTATAATACAAAATAGAAGATGGGTGTTTAGCTGTTAAATATTTGATTTGATTTTGTATTTGATGAAGTTAAACAGCTTCCTTCCAACTTGTAGTTTGAGATACCATATGCAAAAAAGACAAAACTGTAAAATTGGTCCCTATCGTATTCAAAAACTTTGGATATGATCCAAAAAGTTTCCAATTTGCATGGATTGTCCAAAATCAAGGTTTTCTTTTGGTTTTGGTCCTGATAATCTTAAAATGTTTATTTTAACCTTTTTATTTCTTTTTTTCTATTTTTTATTTAGTTTAGTATTTAAAAAATTATAAAAAAAAAATAAAAAACAAATATCACCTACTCCTCTTCACGACTCCACCCACGGTACCCTCTCTCTCTCTCTCTCTCTCTCTCTCTCTCTCTCTCTCTTCTTCTTCTTCTTCTTCTTCTTCTTCACCTGCACGTCAAAACGAAAAAAAAAACCTTGATTTTTTGCTACAGATTACACTTCTTCATTTTCACCTGAAAATCACAAAGGAAAATAAAAAAACTTGATTATTTTCTACAAATTACATGCACAATAAGACCCCCAAAAAACATGGTTCTTCAATTTATTTTGCTCACCTTCAATAACCAACTCCTATTCTTCAATGATCAAACACAAACACCGCATTTTAGAATCTCTCTTTCTCTCTCTCTCTCTCTCTATCTTCTATCTATCTATCTATCTATCTATCTATCTATCTCTCTCTCTCTCTCTCTCTCTCTCTCTCTCTCACACACACACACACACATGTTTCTCCCAAGCGCTAGATTAGTTCTCCTTCTTCCCTGTTATTGCAATTGAAGATTGGTAGTCGACTGCATTTGCATCTTTTTTCTTTACTTCCTTTAATTTTTCCCAAAATAGAGAGTTGAGCGGGGGTGTTCGTCTCCGGTGAGATTTTCCAACGAATACAGGAGGAAGATGATACAGTTCGATGTTGAATTTGGAGGAAATATGAGGGCGGACACGTAGTCGGCGGTCATTGTACCTCTCGATTTGGAAGAGCTGAGAAATCAAACCCAATCAAGACCATGCCTCCCTTATTTGGTGTATGCAGATCTATAACCCTCTATCTTCATGTACCATTAATTTGGAACACCTCAATTCTTCATCATCCAAGTAACCAGCGTTTTCCGAGAAATCCACTGTGAACCACCTTCATCTACCACCGGAGACAACCTCCCTCGTCTTCTTCTCTCATACAGTCAAATCAGTTATGGCTTCCGATTGATTTATCTATTTTCTAAAATGAACTAGAAACGATTGACTTTCATACTATTTGGAAACAATCGATGTTCTCAAAATCAAAATGATAAACTTTGGGTGTGTCTCTATTTATTTGGATTTAGGTGAAATGGTGGGTGGGTTCTTGTGATACATACAATACTTTGTGTATATGTGAGAGAGAGAGAGAGAGAGAGAGAGAGAGAGAGAGAGGCGAGGAAGAAGAAGATGATAGAGAGAGGGGGGAGGAGTGGTGGAATTATGAGGTGGGCCTTTTATTTATTAATATTTACAAAATAGAAAATATAAAAAAGAAAGAAAAAAAGATATTTAAAGTGCAAAACATTCAATTCAAGTACTCCATGGATCAAAACTACAAAAGTTTCTTAATTTTAGGATCAAAACCAAATGAAAACCTTGATTTTTGACTATCCATGCAAGTTGAAATTTTTTTGGATCATATCCAAAGTTTTTTGAATACCACAGGGACCAATTGTGCAGTTTTGTCTAAAAAAAAAAAAAAATTACCAATGCAATTATAAAAGACGTAAAAGTTCATATGACGTATCAAACAACTTGAGGTCCGTAATCATCGTTTTTTTTTTTCTTCTTATTCTAAAAGTATCAATGGACCGAACCAAAAGGCGCATTGCAAAAGAATAAATCATCTTAATCTTCGTAAAGCAATTTCAATTTTAAGCCAGTATTAAGACGAATCAAATCAATCTTTTTTCGTGGAACGTTATAGCCATTAAAACAACCAAATCCATATTCTTCTTATTGCTTTCGAACAAGAATACATCTCATTGTCAAAAGTAGATGGTCTTTCTAGTAATTACGACATTCAGTTATACCTTTAAAACAAAACTTACATATATTAAAATATGTCGTAAATATTCGAGTGTTCGAAATAGAAATATTCGTAAGATGTACATGTCGAGGTTCTTCTATCTATACTTGATTAACACAAAACTCCAATCTGAGAAGTATTAGTTTTGTATGACTGGTTTCCCTTTTCACTTTCTTGTTCTCGATCGTCCCTTCTAGTCTACAAATGGTACTACTTTATATTCTTATCTAGCTATTCACTCCTAAATTGGTCATGATCCAGGAACATCAAACTCCATTTTCTCTCTATTTATATGGCGATAATAAGTAAGATAACCTTCAAAGTTGTTCCATTTGGTATGAATTAGGGAAGAAAAAACCATGATGATGAGCAAGATTTCGAGGAGAAATATCTTATCAGGAAAACAAAAGAAAAAAGACAGCGAGCGTATGAAGAAAAACCGACTATTGATTACTGTTAATGTGCTGGGGAGTCCAGGGCCATTGAGGTTGTTGGTGAACCAAGATGACACAGTTTCAACTGTTATCGATTCATCTCTGAAACTTTATGCTCGTGGTGGAAGGCTTCCAGTTCTTGGATCTGATTTTAAGAACTTCTTACTCTATACATCAAACGCACCATCAGATGGTAGCACAGATGCTTTTACATATGTTTCTATTCATACCCATATGAGATGCTGCTGCGCTTTATTCAATTGTTCACGTACCCATTTCAGATCTTTTGGTTTATGGATTAGTCTGTGAAAATTGATCGGTTTTTCTTGGTTATTTCATAACTAAAAGAGTTATTGTTTTTCATTGTAGCACTGAGTTCAAATGAAGTAATTGGGTTATCTGGTGAGAGGAACTTTGTGATGTCCAAGAAGATGATGAATAATCTACCAATGGCCAAAAGTAGGACTGATACGATCGCTCATGTCCAAGCAGAGAGTCGTAGTTGGAAATCGTGGCTCCATAGTCTGAATAAATCATGCAAGATTATATCACATTGATGTAACTGCCTGAAAGCTATCAAATGTTTTTCATGGTAAATAAAAAACAGAAGCCGAATGAAATGGTACCTTTTTTCATATGAAATCCTTTTCATTAGTCATTATAAAATTCACATCATGTTGTGATATTTACAAATTACAACTCTTCAGAACTAAATTCATAAATTATAATATCAATTAAAAATTAAAATTACAAGAATTACAAAAGCAGTAAAAAAAATAATAATAATAAAGAAAAAAAAAAATGAACACTTTATGTGGCATTGAATCTTTGTTGATAATTTGATCATTTTTTTCTATTATGACCTTGTTGATGGAAGAGCCGTCATCCATAGTATAAGACTAATATTTCACAAACCACACAAACATTCGTGTGTATTGTATATATTTATATTAACATGATACAACTATATCTCCTATAATAATGGAGAGATAAATACAAGAATACATTTGAATATAAAAAACTAAGTTGTTATCTATGTGTAATATCCCTCAACTGAAATGGTGGTGGACCAAGACAAAACGTAATGCAAAAATGTTCAAACTGATGACGTGGTAGAGTCTTGGTAAATATATTGGCCACCGGAAGCTTGGTAGGAACAAACTTACTGTATACTTTCCAAGAAGTGACAACTTCTCGAAAATAATGATAATCAAAATCAATATGTTTAGCACGTGTGTGAGAACAGGGTTTTGAGTCATGATCAATGCACTTTTAATGTCACATAGCAACGTAGGTCGATCAGGAGGTAGTGCATGAAGTTCACATAAAAGATGGGTTATCCAAACAATTTTAGCAACTGTGTTGACCATAGCTCAGTAAATGTGTGAACAATCAAATGTGAAGTATAAAGTATAACACTATGTAATAAGAATTAAAATTTGTTTGAAAAACAAATCTGCAAGTCAAACAGTTTGTTAATATGTTTTCAAATCAAACAGTTTGTTAATATGTTTTCAATTCTTAAAAGTTTACGGATGATGAAACCATTCAAACGAAATAATGAATTTAAGTACAAGATATTCTTGTACTTTTGCTTGTATTCCCCCCTGAAAATATTAAAAAACATTGAAAAATGGTAGGGGTATGAACTCACCAAGCGAGAAAACGTGACGTTTTGGATGCTATGTGTTGGTTCGGGGCTTGATAACGCACGAGGTTCCTATGTAATATGAAATGGTACACAAATGTATCTAATTAGACTTTAAATTACTAATTAGATATGATTATACACTCCGATACGAGAAAACACTTCAAATCAAGTGTTTGGAGTGACCCGGGTGACATCTATGGACGTATAGGGCTTAGATAATGAGTTTGCTCTTCAAGAGTAAATTCCTTAAGGAGTTTACGGCCCTAAGACTATGACCACATGAGTTCACGACCGTGAACTCATGGTTAATGGGTTTTAAGGTGCTAAATGGTCTTATTTCACTTGGGAAAATTGGCTAGGATCAAATCTAGGGCATAGTAGTGGATTAAACTTACAAATAGACCATTTAATGGAGTTTACAAAAGTAAACTAGGAGTTTACGGCCGTAAACTCCCCCACACATATTCCTTATGTGGTTTGGTGGTGTTAGGACAATCACATGTGATTTAAACTCATTTTACAAGCCTTGGATGGAATTTAGGGCATCATGTGTCTTGTGTTTATGAGTTTACGACCCAGGAACCCATTCTAGGGGGGTTTATGGCCGTGAACTCCTAAAGGGAGGGTTTTCATCATGTTTAAGGCCCCTAAATCGATTGTGGTTGGTTCTAGAATTTAATCCAAGGCTATTAGTGTGTTTAAGTGGCATTTAAACACTCAAATATGAGTTTACTCTCCATGAAGGTGAGTTTACGGCCCAAGCATGTTCTTGGGCAGTAAACTCATGTTTACTCCCCAAAAAATTTGATTCAAGGTGTTCTAAGTCCAGTACATTAAGTCATATAGCCATATTTAAGCTCCAAAGGTCGATTGGCAGGGTTTTAAAGGCTCAAAAACCCATCATATGTGTGTTTACGGCCCAAGCATGTTCCAGGGCCATAAACACATAAAAATGGTCCTAAATGATTATTTGAACTCGGATTTGAAGGCCTAAGAGGCTATACTAAGAGTTAGGGAAGTTACCTTGGTGATTTGGAGCTTAAATTTGATGTTTTTGGACCTTAAATTTGGTTAGAGGAGAGAGGTTAGAGAGAGAGTAGTGAGAGAGAGTAAAAGCTTCAAATGGAAGCTTAAACCACTTTAAATACGTTCCAAGTTTTGGACACAGTGGAATTATACCCGATTTCGACGTTAAACGGGGCTTTTGGTCGCACCCGATTAAGTTGTCGTAACCCGATATGGTCGAAACTAAAATTTTTCTAAGTAATTGTTTGGGATGTTTTCATGAGTTTCTAACGTGTTTGGATACCAATTAAGTCATAATAGAAGTCTCAAAAATAATGACTTAATTTAAAACTTAAACGGAAACAGTTCGAAAAAGACGAATTTTATGGACGGAAACGGGTTACGGCGATGGAGCAAACTTTGGGTTGTCACAATATGCAAAGGACAACTGATGAAAAGTGTCATTTTCTTCAAATATAACACGACCGGAATAAAGAGAAGATGAATTAACATTGTCTACTGAGGGAGTCATGTGTTCAGTTGCTCCAAAGTCAACATACTGATGTGTTGGGGTGCAAAGTTCTTCATTCATGACTTTGTAAATGTTTGAATTTTGTAAAACCCACTTGCATGTGGTGCTTTAGCCTTTAGACCCATTTGGTAGTTAGAGTGAGAGAGAGACATGTAAACACCTCTATAAATAGTGGGTTTGTCCACTTGTAGAGGTGTGCTTTGAGAGATGTAGAAGTAAGTGTGTAAGTGTGTGTTAATTATGTAGTCTAGATCTAGATCCTTTTTGTAACACTATATACATTCAATATATCTCTTAAACACCCAAATCACCATGTTCAATTGTGCAAGCTTTAATTCTGCATGCCAAACCATGTTCTTTGTCACTACAATTGGTATCAAAGCGAGTCTTCAAGATCAAGGTGATATTTGAAGAACGATTCTCGGTTTGGCAATTTTGTCACAATTTGAAAAATTTTGCATCTGACTTCTTGTATATTGGTTTATTCTGGTCGTTCTCGCAAATCGATTAATCTCGTTCTTGATTCGACGATGATGGTATTCGATTGAAATTTGTTTCTGAATCTCGACTTGTGATTCGAGTTTATGTGATTTGATCTGTTATAAAACTGATTTTGTTCTTGTTGAAGTGTAGAAATCGTCATATTAGTTCTTTGATTATGATGCATATTGACCAAGAGCACTTCAATAGGATGCAGAACAGTTAGTTGAACTTGTTTTGATCTGAAATCGGACCTCAGAATCATCGATTTCGTGTTTATGATCTTTGACTTTAAAAAGTCAAACTGTGAAAAAGTTGGAATTCAAGAGATGAATTAGTGAAATCGTATGATGAAATTGATAGTTACAAGTTGTTTTGAGGCTGTAAGAGTCGAAATCTAGCTTAATTTGGGTTTAAGTTCGAATTTGGAAGTAAATGGGTGTATGTTCATCATGAACGAACACTGTGTTCGTTCGTATATACTTCCTGAACGAGATGTGTTGGGATTTGATTTCAATGTTCAAGGGATGAAGTGATTGAAGATGAAGACAGTCAAAATTATGTTTTAGTTTGAATAGATGAAAAACGAAAGTCAAAGAATGACTTAGAACGAACAGTGATTGAATGATGATGTACGAAGGGTTCCTGAATCGAAAAATCGATTTGATCGATTTATCGGTTTGGTGTCGGTTTTCGAATGTTTGATGAACAAAGGATTAACTGGGTTGATAGATTCGAAGTATGCCACATGATTTTGGATGAAATTCGATTTCGAAATTTTTTTTTGGAACTGGGGACGAAGAAAACTTAGATTGGGAATGAAATGTGAACAATCGAAGGGGCATGTGTTTGATCGTTTGAAATTGAAAACGAAGAATTGATGGTCAAATGCTTTGAAATTGGTACTTGTATTGGAAATCGATGGTTATGAAATCGTGATTTGGAATAGATGATTTTGTTTTGAAACTGGGATGTGATTGGAATCGATGGTATGGTGAACTGAACGAACGAAGGATGTTTGTGATTTTAGAATCGAAGGGTGTTTTTGATTTATATACGAAGGGGTGTTTGGAATTTGAACGAAGAGTCTCTGTGTTCGTGAATGATTAGAAGGGGTGAATATACGAAGGGATAAAAGGAGTTAATGTACAAAGGCATTTTTCGAAGGGGGTATATTCTGAATTTTCGAAGGGGGTATTTTGGAAATTTATACGAAGACTTTTACTGTTCATTAATGAATCTTCGTATGTGTCGTGCTTCGAAAGAATAGTGCAAATGACAAAGTTTTGAAAAAGGCCCCTGAACCTTCGAATTGTTGACACTTCGCAAATTAAAGCATGTTTCGTATGTTTGACACTTTTCACCCAACTTCGAAAATTTTGTTGGTGCTCGCAATTTTGCAACATGGTCTTCGTATGTTTGGTGCACAAGGGCAGAATTTACGAAGATGGTCCCTGAAACTTCGAATTTTTGGTAGTTTTCACCCAAATTCGAAAAAGGACTATTTTTGGTGAAAATTGAAGATTGTGCATTTCAGGCCCCTGCAGTTTGTGCAAATTAACACTTTCTACCCAGCTTTGGAAAAGGGGGAGAGTTTTGCATATTTTGTTGTTTTGGGCGCAACGGGTCACTGCAAAATTTTGAAATTGACAATTTCTACCCATTTTTGAGAAATTTTGTCAAAGGCGATCCGTGAACGGCAATAAAATTTGAATATTTTTTGGGTTTTCCGGATTGAAGCACAAAGTTTATGCCACATGTTAAGTGGGAGTTTTGACATGAAAAATTCCGAATAGAGCACGTTCTTTTTCCTTTGGAGTTTTATAATCAAATTTCGATTATAAAAAGGGGAGAAGTTTTATATGGAAATTCGAACTTGAATTTTCATATTACGCGGATTTGAAGACCGAAGTGATCTTGAAGTTTTGAAACCACGAGATGATGCAATTGGAAGTTCGGAAGTGATGTATTCGA